AGCCTAGAACTGTGTTGGCTTTTTTGGCAGCTGCTGCACACTGATGGCTCTTATTCAAATAGTTGTCCACTAGGATTCCAAGATCCCTCTCATAGTTGCTACTATTGAGCAACGTGCCACCTATACTGTACCTGTGCATTTCATTTTTCTTGCCTAAGTGTAGAACCTTACTCTTCTAATTCTCTTTACATGCTTTATCCCTTTGCCCAGCTTTGCATAAATTTGCTTATTTCAGGAGGGAATAGTGTGATGGATGTGTATGAAGACCTAACAAATCTTGACTATAAACATCTTGATGTACTATTGGCCACCTAATACTTCTAGTAGCCCTGTATTAAGTGTCTGTCTTAGTGCCTAATGATTAACTAAATGGGCCTCTCCCAACGCATTCTTTGAATATTGGGAAAAGCTGCATCCTATTCATTTGCTGCAGCAAAAAAAGAAAAGAAGCTGTTTACACTTTGTGGTATGTATGTTTGTTTAACTAGGCGTGAGTAGCTTAAATAAACGTCTGCTTTGCAAAAGTTTCTAAGCAAACAAAATAGTAAGGGCAACTTTAGGTTATCAATTCAAAGAAAATTATCTAAGTGCACCCTCTTGGCCAACCATTGATAACGGGTCCATGAATTGGACCTGTTTTTTTTTGCTGGGGATCAAAGTTTGCAAGCATGATGGCCTCTTAAGAACTCAATGATTTTCTAACAAGGTGAAATAGGTTGATGAAAAGGGGTAACTTAATGTGTTGCATGAGAATACTAAATACTAAATAGGGGATTGGTTGACCTAAGCAATTAACCTCCAAGGTCATTCACAGGATGATTAATGTTGTAAACCACAGATGTCAAGCTCACCACTCTCGTCATCACATATATGATATATCATATATATCACACACACAAAAAATTCCCTTCTTGGAGGTGGTCGTGGCCCAGTGGTGGGTTTCAATTTTTTTTTACTATGAGTTCTGTGGGTGTGGCTTGGTGGGCGTGGCAGGGGAAGGGTACTGTAAAATCTCCATTTCCTCCCCACTCCAGGGAAAGTTGCTGCAAAATCCCCATTCCCTCCCGATCAGCTGGGACTCGGGGGGCAGAGAATAGATGAGGGCTGGGCCAGTCAGAGGTGGTATTTACCAGTTCTCCGAACTACACAAAATTTCAGCTACTGGTTCTCCAGAACTGGTCAGAACCTGTGTCAGGGTTCCAAATAGCATCCAAAATTAAATCAGAGTCCNTGCGTGGGCGGGTTATTTGCGTGGGCGGGTTATATGGGTGAAAATACGGTATATCAAACTACCTCCATGTGAATAGCCTTCCTTTTTGCAGTGATATGGCTCTGCCCTTCACATCCCAAGCAGTGTGTGTGTGTTTCAAAAGAAGAGCTACCATTTTAACTTATTTGTTAGCTTTAGATCCCACCTTTATACCCTCCAGGAACCCACGCAGAATACAAAGTGTGCCCAACTGCCAGGTCCTTTTCTGACCCCATAAAATCAAACAAGTTCTATTGTGCCCTTGCAAGTTTCAAGGGCATCCTACAGTCAGCCAAGATCTCTCAAGATTTGACTATTTTTTAAAAAGTATTTTGGTATCACAAATTGCATAATCGTTAGCTGGGCAATATTAATGATCTTGGCAATAGACGAGTTAGATGGGTTTTCTGGATCCAAATCATTGTCCTCTAGCAAGAGTTAAGAAATGATGTATGTATGTAATAGCAATAGCAATAGCAATAGCAGTAGACTTATATACCGCTTCATAGGCCTTTCAGGCCTCTCTAAGCGGTTTACAGAGAGTCATATGTATGTAATATTTTCTAGATCGCCCTTCTCCCTCAAAGAGGAGCCCTGGGTGGTGTGCAGTATAATACAAAATAGCATGTAAAATTAGAATTAAATATTGAAATTTATTTAGGATTTAAAAACTTAAAATTATAAGATTATAAAACTACAACAATTTCAAAGGGTCACAAAATTCCAAGAAGGCAATTTAACTTAAAGTTGATCAATAAAGGCAGAGGGAGGGTTCTCATGGCACCAATGCTGGGTTGCAAGCGGTACGCCCGGGTACAGGCATACCAGAGCCTGGGTACCATTCCAGTGCTCCGGAGGGCCCATCCGAGCTTCTTACCGTGTTTTAAAGCTTTCGGCGCTTACGCGCCTGGCGCATACAGCACCTGTGCGATGCTCCACCAAGCAGCTGGAGCGTCGCAGAGGCTTGCAGAAGCATCGTTTGCAGCTACAATGCATGAGTGCGTGCGTGCCACATGCATCCATGTGGGTGACCCCGGGCCCGTTCCAACCGTACCAGTTGGAATGGGATCCGGAACCTACCACTGCATGGCACCCAGCAGCCCCAGGATTGGATGATCTTTTGTGCCTTCCATGCAAGTTCGCAGAGCCAAATTTTGACTCAATGGAAAGCCAGGGGCCGCTAACTTCCGGGGGAAGGATATTCCATAGTGTAGGGGAAGGCTCTCTTCCTAGACCACACCAGTTGGATTTTTTTGATTGGTCTACAACATACCTTCCCTGCCTGATTAAGTAAGTGGGACAGGCTGATACAATGGGGCAAAGCCAGTTTTATAAGTAGCCTGGTCCTGTGCCATGCAGGGCTTTATGGGTGATGTCCCAAAATCTTGAATTAGACCTGGAAGCAAACCAGTACCCAATGCAGTTCACAGATCAAGGGCGTTATTGTGCCGTTCTTTGGGGCACCCAATATAGCTCACACAGCCACACTTTGCGCTTTTACTGGCTCGTGAATTCTGGGAGATGAAGTCCAACAGCTGAGAATGAGGATTGCAGTCTCTGAAACAACTAGTATTCCTTGGAAAGAAAGCAAATGCATGGCACTTAATTTATTTCTGTATGGGTTTTTTCCCCCACCACAGAACACAGGACGGAAGTGTGTATTTCTGGACCTCTCCCAAACACATTCCCAGCCTCCAGCATTTGTGTCGGATGGCTGTCAGACGGGTGATGCCTACAAGAAAAGTGGAGACCTTGCCTGTTCCTTCTGCCATCATCTCTTTCCTTTCCTACCGGAGTTAGAAAAACCATCGGAAATGAATAAAAGAGCATCAGGCTTTTTAAAGCCTTTGAGCTTCAGTGGTCCACAGGTTTTTAACATGGCTTTATTCCCTGAGACTAGATCATCAAGTTTCCAAATATGGACCACTTTCAATTTGTAAAGGTATTATTTATAGAAAAACATCAGAGTAGGTATGTGTCCCGAAGTTGTGGAATAGCTTTTTCAAAAGAAAGCTCTTAACTGTGAAACCTTGTACATAATTGGATGTAAGCTGCTATGTGCTATCCATGTATATCTTTTGAGGTTGCTTTTTTTTAACTAGTGTGTAGCTTGCATGCACAGAGAGGAGTCCACGTGTATATAAGTGTGTGCATGAGGGTATATTCACAGTATAAAAGCCTCTAAGACCAGTGTTTGCCTCTCCCCCGATGTAAGAACCATTATACCAACTTGCACAATACATCCAGCCCATACATTCACATGTCTGTTGTCTCTGGAGCCACCAGCAAAACCGGTGCTGTGTAAAATAATTCTCATGTTAGATAAATGCTGACAAAATCTTGAGCAGCTTTTGTCGTGTACATTAAGTGAGCTATACAAAGCCGACCCTGTGGTGGTCATCTTACAATAGGGGTGGGCAACTATGGCCTTCTATGACCTGTGGACTTCAATTCCCAGCATTCCTGAGCTGGCATAGCTCAGGAACATCATAGCTGGCTCAGGGATGCTGGGAGTTGAAGTCCACAGGCCATAAAGGGGCCATAGTTGCCCATCCCTGATCTTACAAAGGTAGAAACAGGGAATTTTCTTGAAGCCCCCAACACAGGATGGACAGTTCATTTAGCAGGGATATCTCCTTTCCCAAGGAGGCCTTAATTTTGCAGCAAAAGTTTGTTTGGGAGCATGTGAGGTCCTTAAAACTTTTGAATTCCTGCCTAAAGACTTCCAGTAAATGAGTTTTCCACAAGCTTTTCTTTTTCATTATCCTGTGAGGCTTTGTCATATCAAGGCAAAAGGCTAGGTGAACTACCAAAGACAGACAACTTAGTTCTTCCTAGCTTTTGCCTTCCAGTTTATCTGGACATGCAGATACAAGAATGTATGCATTGCTTAAAATGCCTGACTATTTTGTTTGAATTTTTTTTTATATGTATATTAAATCATTGTACCAAAAAAAACAACAACCCACAATTCAAAGGCTGATTATTTACATGCGGAGTGAACAAGGAAAGATGTGCAATTTGTGTTACAACCTAAACTTAATTATTTTGAAGGTATTAACCACCGTTACGTGTTTCTAAAGGACAAATGCTGTTTTAGACTGGATAAGCGGAAATGTAATTTCCAAATCCTATGGATTGATTCTTCCACTTCTTTCTGTGGTATATATGGTATCCAATTCTGGGAATCACTTTCCATTCTCCAGATTTGGAGAAGGCAGTGAGGATAATCAGAAGATTAGTTCTTATACACCGATACAGCCATTTTTGGCCTCCCAAAACCCCACCCTGCGTGTCGCCAAAAATGGGCCTGTTTTTCACAAAAACAGGGTGCACAGAGGGTTTGGGAGACTTGCAGAGTGCACCTGGGGGCCAGGGAGGGCAAAAATTGGGGTTTTTTTTTCTTGTTTTCCTCTTCAAAATCTTCATGCG